AAGAAGAAGAAGAAGAAGAAAAAGAAAAAGAAGAAAAAGAAGAAAAAGAAGAAAAAGAAGAAGAAGCTGAAAGAAGTAGAAGGGGAGGAGGGCTTCTTCCTCTTCTTCTTTTTCTTCCTCCTCTTTTTCTTCTTCTTCTTTTCCTCTTCCTTTCTCAACTCCTGGAATGCCTTGCCGTGTAAGGACAGGAAGAGATCCCTGGAACTGTTCTTTCTGTTCGCTTTACATATAGCACTTTTCGGTGTGTCTGATATTTCTGCGATTCATATTCTGCGTTGTTGACCTCTGGCTCTGTTACTACCTCATCTGTATAACATTGCTCTTTGTGGTGTCCTGTTTGCTGCCAATCTTGTTACATGACCAAACCATTTGACCTGCTGCCTACGATACAGTTCAGTATTGATTCTGAGCCGACTCTCCTCCTGATATCTTCATTCGTAAGTAGATCTTTTACCTCGTTACTGAAGCAAGAAAACCGGTTTTTAAAAGCTGTACAGGAACACGTCTGTGAAGCGTTTTTATTGTAAGTGCAAGAGATCTTTTTTACTACAGATACATGAATGGAAAAGGAGGTAAGGGGAGAGAGGAAGGTTTTGCAATGCTAGACTTGGCATTCGATTAATAAGACGCTCTCTAAGAACGTCGATTCAGCATGCAGCGGAAAGAGGGTACTTCGGGGTTATGAAGCGTGTTCGCAAAACCTAGCATGACTATTTTTTTTAAAGAAAAACAAAAGCTTACCAGCGTTAAAAGCACTGAGAGTTACTGTCTACTGAGAGAGTTTCAACATTTTGCTTCTGTCGGAGACGGACTGTAGATATCAATGATTTAGGTAAGGTTTTTCCCCGCAGATGTCACAGCCTAACTCTAAACCAAAACCACACTTTTAAGGGCGAATGCAGAAGAAAAAAAAGGTACGGATTTCATATGTAGCCGGGAACAACCTGAGGATAATGACTAGACGCTGGAGCAGCAGTAACGTAACGATTAGACGCAGGACAGCAGTAGCTAGACGCAGAGCAGCAGTATCATAACTATTAGACACAGAGCAGGGGTATTGTAACTATTAGACACAGAGCAGCAGTATCGTAAAGATGGCACGCAGAGCAGCGGTATCGTAACCATTAGAAACAGAGCAGCGGTATCGGTAACTATTAGACACAGAGCAGCGGTATCGTAACGATTAGACACAGAGCAGAGGTATCGTAACTATTAGACACAGAGCAGCGGCATCGTAACGATTAGACACAGAGCAGCGGCATCGTAACGATTAGACACAGAGCAGTGGTATAGTGACGATTAGGCACAGAGCAGTGTTATTATAACTATTAGGCACAGAGCAGCGGTATCGTAACGATTAGACACAGAGCAGCGGTAGCGTAACGATTAGACACAGAGCAGTGGTATAGTGACGATTAGGCACAGAGCAGTGTTATTATAACTATTAGGCACAGTGCAGCGGTATCGTAACGATTAGACACAGAGCAGCGGTAGCGTAACGATTAGACACAGAGCAGCTGTATCGTAACTATTAGGCACAGAGCAGCGGTATCGTAACTATTAGACATAGAGCAGCGGTATCGTAACAATAAGACACAGAGCAGCGGTATCGTAACTATTAGACACAGAGCAGTGGTATCGTAACGATTAGACCTAGAGTAGCGGTATCGTTAAGGTTAGATGCTGGAGCAACAGTAGCATAAAAGTTAGATGCTGGATCAGCAGTAGCTTAACCGCTAGGCGCTGTAGCATCACTAGCGTAACGGCTATACGTTGAAGCATCTCTAACGTCATGGCTAGACGCTCGCCTTATAGCCGAAAGGTTTTAGGTTAGAATCATCATTGATAGGTTTTTTTTTTAATCGGCCTTGGCTCTCATGTCGCCAAAGACGGGTAACGTGTAATGTCATGGGAAGTAAACACAGCATGATCTAGACCGCATCACCCACGGAGTAAAATATAAGACAAGAATCAATTTTTACCTCTCAGAGCACCATACGGCACAGATGTTATTAACTGCTGCATCTGTTTAATAAGTTTTTAACATTGCACGTAGCTTCTAATTGCAAATTGTTTTTGTTTTGCATGGTCGTTAGTTCATAAAGCACCGTAACAGACATTGTTTTATGAGACTTGTTTCTTTTTATTCTAGAAACTCTTAGCTGAAGAGGTACAGAACCTGCGGATTATATGGGGGGGGGGGGGGGGGGAGTTAAGAAACATCATTTAACACAAGCCACTTATGAAGTTTGTTAACATTTATTTTTTATGAAACGAATATATAAAGGGGAATAATTGATAAATTGGAACAGCACGGCGAAAAGACAGAATAGATTCCCTTTGGGTTAACACCCAAACCACCCTCCTCCACCCCCCCCCCCTCGCCCCTCCCCTCCACCCCTCTTCTTTTCGCCCCCTTTATTCCAATGTGTGTTGTGATTTATACAGTGATCCCGTCACCAATGCAACCGCTAAAGCTGTCGTTGTAGCAGCAGCAGCAAATAGAAATATCGTCATCGGCCGAAGTCTCGTGTCTCAGCATATAACGATTATTATTACTCATACAATACAACAAATGAAGTGGTTTGGACACCTAACAAGGATGCACTGGTATTATCTACCACAGCCAAACACACTAAAACGTTACATCTGGTATAGCGCGAGTGGAAGACCACGGAAAATATGGAGTGATGGCATTAAGAACAGCCTTACAGAAATGAACATCATTCTTAAACGTGCCTTTGACAGAGCTCATCAATGAATGTTACATCCCCCCCCCCTCCCCGACACTTCGTCAAGGTACAAGGTAGAAAAGAAGAAGAAGAAGAAGACTGGTACAGTGTCACTTGCTATACCTCTGTGGGCCGTCACTTAGATAGTCCTACCCTAATGTTGCTTAGTAACTCCTAGCTGGGGACGGACAACTCTAGAACAGGGAAGGATAAGCAGTAGAGGTTACCATAGAATGTGTTATAGATCTTAAGACAATAATGGTACTCAGATTAGTTTCAGTATTCACATAGAGATATATAATACCACATTATCATAATTATTAAAAACAGTAAACTTGAAATATACTGAACTTAACAATCTATATTCCTACAATCTGTTCTAATGAATACATAACATGTGTAGTATTAAATAACCAACAGAAATTATCAAGCATAAATACCAAATAGCGAAATAAAACTAAAAAATGAATTAAAACTATTTATATTCTAAAAAATATGTTGATGTGTTGAACAGGTTATCGTTATTTAAATTACTAGCAATGTGTTGCCTGATAACTTTCAGCAATGTTTCTTTCCCAACAATGTTTTTCCCGATAACTTTCAGCAATTCATCTTTTCTAGTGATGTGTTGCCCGATAACTTTTAGCTATGTATCTTTCCTAGCGATGTGTTGCCCAATAACTTTCAGCAAATGCAGCAATATATCTTTCCCAGTGATGCATTGCGCGATAACCTTCAGCAATGTATCTTCCCCAGCGATGTGTTGCCCGATAACCTTCAGTAATGTATCTTCCCCAGCGATGTGTTGCCCGATAACCTTCAGCAATGTATCTTCCCCAGCGATGTGTTACCCAATAACCTTCAGCGATGTACCTTCCCCAGCGATGTGTTGCCCGATAACCTTCAGCAATGTATCTTCCCCAGCGATGTGTTACCCAATAACCTTCAGCAATGTATCTTCCCCAGCGATGTGTTACCCAATAACCTTCAGCAATGTATCTTCCCCAGCGATGTGTTGCCCGATAACCTTCAGCAATGTATCTTCCCCAGCGATGTGTTACCCAATAACCTTCAGCAATGTATCTTCCCCAGTTATGTGTTATCCAATAACCTTCAGCAATGTATCTTCCCCAGCGATGTGTGGTCGTGCATGTCAGAACGGCGGTCATTGTCTTCCAGAGGGATTCTGCTGGTGTGCTCAGGGATTCTATGGAGATGCATGCGAATACAGTAAGTGACCTTTATACTGTCATTCAAAAACTGTCATTTTTCGTTGTGTGAGTTCCGAGGCCTCATTGTGGGGAAAACAAGAATAGACTCACCGCCTCCCCCAACAAACGTGTCGTAGAAGTAGACGTTTTGGGAGCATTCTTCGAAGTCATAGTAGATCTGTCTGAAAGTTAAGGAATTAAGAATCTGCATACAAATAAGTCAGATGTGTAAAACCGATATTCACGCAACAATCAGGTTCTGGAACAAGACTGAGATCCGGAGGTAGACGAACACACAGAACTTTAGGCCAGAGATTACGGCCGTTGAACTATGAAAAAGAAGAAGAAGAAGAAGAAGAAAAAGAAGAAGAAGAAGAATAATGCCACTGTTACGATGTAATCAGGCAATCATTGAGCCTGGGGATTTAGGGCCACGTGGCCAGAGCAGTCGATACGGGCTTTGAGTGTTTGTATTTAAGTTTGACGCCTACAGAAGAAAACCTACAACCTATATCGAAGAGTCCAACATCAGATTCCCATATGAGAACCCAGTTTTGTTAACATTTCGGACAGCTGCTTCTCGAGTTTTGATACAGTTGTCAGTTCAGGCCACCCAGGTCATGAGCTCTAATATAACCTAACGGTTGAATGGGGTTTCTGGGACCTGTCCCCGGGAGATCCTCATTCGATTGGTAGCACTTTGTGTCACCATATCACTCGGCGTGATGTCTTGGTGGGGTTGAACGTCAGTCATCTGCCATTATAATAGGTAGTTATGAGTATCAACAGAAGGAAATCATATTTCTTATATAATACGATCAGTACCATCATCATTATCAGCTTCATCAGCATCAGCATCATCATTATCAGCATCATCATTATCAGCATCATAATGGTGCTGATAATAATGATGCTGAGGCTGATAATGATGATGGTGATGATGCTGATGCTGATAATGATGATGCTGATGCTTATAATGATGATGCTGATAATGATGATGATGACGAGACTTATAATGATGATGATGCTGATAATGATGATGCTGATAATGATGATGGTGCTGATAATGATGATGGTGCTGATAATGATGATGACGCTGATAATGATGATGGTGCTGATAATAATGATGGTGCTGATAATGATGATGGTGCTGATAATGATGATAGTGATGCTGATTATGATTATGATGATGCTGATATGATGATGATGCTGATAATGATGATGGTGCTGATAATGATGATAGTGCTGATAATGATGATGATAATAATGATGATGTGACGATGACGAGGTTGATGATGGTGATGATGCTAGAACTATTAATGATGATGTCGAGGCTGATAATGATGAGTTGATGCTGGGACTGATAATGATGATGATGCTGAGGCTGATAATGAGGATGATGATGCTAATGCAGATAACGATGATGGTGACGATGGCGAGGCTGATATTGATGATGATTATAATGATGATGATAATGATTATGGTGGTCAGTAGGAGACTGGCTTTCAAATCCAGCTGCGACTAGCCGCAGCCCACGGCCGGTGTTCAAAACCGGACATTAACCAGGATTCACCCAGCATCCAGAAAATTGGGTAAATGGAGAAACATCGCTGTAGCTACGGAGTTTTGTGCGGACGATGACGCATGCGGACAGATTCTTATTAGCTGTCCGTACTGGTGGCAGAGCACTTATGGTTTATAACCGTATTCAATGTCGCTGGTTCACATCTTTAGAACACAAACTATGATAAGGAAAAAAGACTGAGATAGAGGGAAAGTATGTGTAGTATGTCGGCTTTGTGGCTCGTCAATGCGAACGCTTCGTAATGCCGGGGTGCCGGGTTAGATCCCAGCTGCGGGACATGCGCCTTGCATTGGTTTCGACAGTGGTATCAGGAAGCCGACCGTTCAGAAGGAATCGCAAACCACTGGACGTAAATTTGCCTAGACAAACACACAAACAGCCAGGGGCTGCTGCTGTTGGTTCTGCAACGTCCTGTAAAAGATACGCAACTAACCTATGTGTAGTATCTTTACTTCTTGATATGTTCTACTGCATTCAACACTAGTTTCGTCAGCACTTTTGGTCAGTCTTATCTCGCACAAGTAATTGAAGATGCTTTCCAGCAAAAATGTATTCTGCTAGCTACTTTCTTTGACATGACCAAAGCCTATGGCAATGGGATACAAGGGCATTTGTATATATATATATATATATATATATATATAATATATATATATATATATAATATATATATATATATATATATATATATATATATATATGGTTTAGGCGTTGCGAACGCGCTTGCTTTCGTTTCGACAGTGATATCATGAAGCCGACCGTCCAAAGGCAATGGCAAACTGCTGGACTTGAATTTGCATAGAAAAACCACAACAGCCAAAAAATGCTGGAGTTGGTTCTGCAACTTTCTGTAAAGGATACGCAACTATATGTATATGTGTGTATATATATATATATATATATATATATATATATATATATATATATATATAGAGAGAGAGAGAGAGAGAGAGAGAGAGAGAGAGAGAGAGAGAGAGAAGAGAGAGAGAGACAGTCAGTGCTTAAGTTTATTAACAGAAGAAAAAAAACTATTAAGATGTGTTTTCCTACCTGGCATCTCTTTGAGGCTTCTCAATCTGTCTTAAATCATTGATGTGAAAATATTTTTAGAATTAATGTATCGGATGAGATTTTAGGGCACTTTTTCAAGTACAAATACACAAGAACTCTCAAAACTAAAAGAACATATAATTAACAACAAATGAGGAATTCAAAGTCATCTATTAACATTAATGGCTGCAAAATCAGATACGCCAGTACACTTTCCTGATTTATGGGATATATAGTTCAAAAGCGTTTAACTGTGTTTCACCATCATATTTAGCGGAACCACGGATTACCTGCGTGTTTAGATATTTGTGAACTAAATTAAACGGCAAAAAAAAAAAAGCTCATCGAAAAGATTTGATAATTCAGGTGAGCATTATTAAATTTGACAGCAGCGGTTTTTTTTTTCCCCCATCTCATTAAATTTAATTTAAAAGTTATTCCTCATGCTTAATTTAATATTATCTTTCGTTATCCTTATATTATGCGTGTATTGCCTATGTTGGCTACCGAATCTCCTGGGGGAAAAAAGCCACTTATACATACACTAAAAACATGAAAAAGGAATAGAGAAAAAAGGGGGGAAAACATCAGCCAACCAAGTGAGGGGTTACAGAAAAAGATGACACGCTGCAGAGTCTAGAGTTGAGTTGAGTTGAGTCAACTATTGACATTACAGGACTCAAGGCATTCCCATAAGCGCTCCGTCCCCATCCTCGGCAGCCAGCATAGAATTTCAGTACTAATGGTGCCTGTCGTAGTCTGGTTGTATGTCAGTTTTGCCTTTCCTCTGAGCGCAAAGTGTCGGCCGAACCCTCTGGACACATCATTTTCATTTCATAAGGAGCCCAGATCGTCGACCTACCTTCTTTCACATAAGCAGGGAGCTAGAGAGTGGATACTTTATGGTGTACAATCCGGTCATCTCCTTGTGAGATGCAATGTTTCGTTATTAGAAGCCCCACCCTGGCTCTTGCCGGGGGCCGCAATATAGCAAATATGGTCTAATGGCTGAACGCGGTTTCTGGGACCCCTCCACGGTAATCCTCGTGCACATGGTGGCACTTTGTGTCATCGGGTGTTTATCGCTTGTGTGATGTCCTAGTAGGGTACAAATCTGCTACTGCTAGAGAGTAAAGTTAAAAATATGGGGAGGGCTTGGGGTGAGCCTCATGGCTGTGACGTGACGGGTGGTTTAAATGTTTATGTTGTTGAGTAGGGATCTTCCTCTCAACACATTCTCTCCACCAGATAAACCGAACTAAAATCTGAGCTATGTTGCTCTCAGACAAAGTCCTGGATATCCAAGAAAACAGCCATATTGGCTCGTTAAGTATATTAACATTAGCTGAACTTGGTACCCACAAGAGAAGGCAAGGAATTTTAGATGTCTATCATACTTAATGAATTATTAGACAGGGCAAGTGATTCCTCCGTCATCTACCTTCTCCCGGTGTTATTATTAATAATTAAAGAATTATTATATTATTTGAGCCCCCACCAAATGTTATTCTATCCTAACAGTTTAATTAAACATGTAAGAACAGACATTTGGAATTTAACAAACTATGTAGTTTAAAACTTGACATACAGCTTTATTTACTACAATGAAATTCCCAGTTTGTTGATTTACACAAACAGGGACTGGTTAATGAAAGTGATACGCTTCAGCGAGACAAACAGCTCGGGGTTTAGAGTGGTATGATAATGATGATAAAAGGTTAACATAAAGGGGTTAACTCAACTTATAAGCCTCTGACAGCCGTGAGGAACTGTCAAGCTTGTCCAACTCTTCCTTGCTGTTTGTCTGCCTGTTTCAGCTTATTCTCCCACTTCCTCCCCACCTCGTTCTCCAACATCCTTCTCCACCTCGTTCTCCACCTCGTTCTCCACCTCGTTCTCCACCTCGTTCTCCACCTCGTTCCCAGCTGCCGAGTCTAACACAATGTAGTCTACTTCATGGACTGATCGTCACATGGGCGCTGTAATCATGGAAACAAAACACATACGTGTAGTATCTTGACTCACACTAAGAATACATGTATCAATTAATACAACATATAATAATAAGATATAGCCCATCACTCCTCCTCATATTCCACATCCTCTCCAGTCTAGTCTGAAGGTCTTTTGTCTTACATGGGCGTCACATATCTGGCCTGCCTTCCCTCAAATGCTATGTCATGATAGTTGACTTTCTAAGTCTGTTGTCCGTCTTCACTCAGACTTCGAGTTGGCTGACATAGATTTTACATAAACATGTGGCGCAGGTTATGTGCTGAACCCGCAAACAATTTATATGTGCACGCTGTCCTGAATATTATCTTTCAGTGACCGTGAATTCTATACACCCATCATCCTTCCCCTGGGGTTATAAATCCCCTGTTCAGGTGAACACTTTAAGGGAGCACATGGTGGGCACACAAAACGTAGCAGCATCCCTGCACATATGTGCATGATTTCCCACAGTCCAAACTCATATTTTGGCTGATCATGGAAACAATATAATTACATTTCATTATAGCAAATGTCCTTGTTCACATCTTATTTTATACACATGAAAACATACACTGAAAAACATGTGACACAAACATACGGGAAATAGGAATAGTTTAGCAGTTCCCTAACTTGAGATACTGAATACTCACACAGAACTATTTCAAGCAGAATGTGCAGACAAATTAGGAAAAGGTAGTATAGACTAAGCTTAACTCCCTAACCTATGTATACAAGATTAAAATTAATATTTTCTCTCACCTGGGAACTTTTCCATCTATCGCCAAACCAGAGTACGACAGTAAAATATACCTTTACGTCGACCTGTTTGTTTGTCGGCAGGCTGCGATTAATGACGGGGATTCCACAGGCTCGAAGTATAAGTATCAATCTATTGTCCAAATTAAACTCCTCCCTTTCCTTAGTTTTTACCCAACCCTCAAGATGATGGCTTAAGCTCCTCCTCCGAAGTACCTATCAAATCACATTAGCTAACAAGTGGCCTGTCAGTCAATTCTGGACTGACATCCCTAGAGCAAACATTCTTAAGTGCCCCAATCTAGTTTACACCGAATCTAACTGGCCGGTGTGAAAGACGGTCAGTGAAGCCATTGTGTTTCCTACGTGACCAAGATCAAGATAAAACATTCCTAATTGCCAAACACCTGTTCTCTCCAGAATTACACTGACGTGTTAAACTTTAAACTTCTCCTCGCCTCTATGTCTACAGTCCGCTCAATTTACCTGATCTAGTCTTTCAAAGCAGTCTGGTCAGGAGATAACATTCTGACACTGGCATGTGAAAGGAAATTCTCTAGCCTCGGTGTAATTGTGTAACATTACCCGAGACTCAGTCGCTTTGTCTGGACTAAGGACTGGAAACATTTAAATCAATACGGTTTAAAGTAACATTTGGTTTAAGGGCATAGTCTCTTGTCTCTCAATAACCAGAAGAACTTATTACAAGTACTAACTTCTGGAATCACTGAGATCGTTTCGTGACAATGGCTAGAACGAACGACATGGCATGGGCTGGTTGGTTGAGGCTTGACTGGGGAATAGAAAGCAGAAGAATAACATGGCTGCAGACTCTCCCCTCCCCCCCCCCCCCTACCCCTACCCCCCTTTTTTTTTTTTTTTTTGCATGCTTTCTCGGTGACTGAGTTAGTTGCCTGAGGCAGATAGAGAAGGGCTGGATCCGAAGACAGTAGTTGGAGTCCCTAAAGAGGTTGGGGCTGACACGTATCAGTTTCATATTTTTGCCAGGGCACACAGGCGTGCAAGAAAGTGAGCAAGCTGATCGGCTTGCAGGTAATGGTACTTTGAAGGGGGAACAAGCCAAGGACCATGCTGACATTCTGAAAACCTCTACGAGAGGCATTTGCGAAAACCAAGTTAAGACTGTGAATCTGCAACTACGACTAAACTGCTAGATCAAAATATTAAAAAAGGCAAGGCCAAACAAGACTACTCTGCAGGAAGCCAACGAAGACTAAGAAACCAACACAACTGGTGTTGGGAGCCGTTACACTCTGCTAGATTTACTGAGGAGGAGATCTGACCACTTATGAACTGAATGCTTCGATGTACAATGCGGAAAACCTGTCCACTAACTAACTAAGGTAGAAAAGGAAAACAAAAATGCGTATGTCGCTATAGCTGATTTTTTTTTAATTTTGTAAATAAAGTATGTACAACTGCATTTTCCTGTAACATCTACCAACACTCAACATAGGCAATGTAGCAATCACATATAAATGCCTAACACTACACTTGTTTTCCAGGTCACTGCATCCCAATGTGTTTGAATGGGGGTACCTGTACTGGAACCAACCAATGTCTTTGTTCAGCTGAATATTCGGGAAACCTATGCGGTATAGTTTTTTTACATCTTACATTTCGTAGCATAACATTTTGTTTTATTTCAAATGTACCCTCTGTTGCTAGCAACAGTATCGTAAAGCAGGACATTCATTTGTCCTAGCAATCTTAGAAGCTAAAAAATGCTCAGCGATCCCTTGCCCTGGCAATGTAGTCGGTTGCTAGAAGCACAGGGCAATCATTTGTATTGACAGTCTCAAAGGTTGATGAGACTCAGCTCTCACTTGCCCTGGCAATGTAATCGAGTTCTGGAAGCTCATGACAATTACTTATACTGGCAGTATCAAAAGTTTATGAGACTCAGCACTCACTTGCCCTGGCAATGTAGACGGTTGCTGGAAGCTCAGGGCAATCAACTTGTACTGGCAGTCTTAAAAGTTGATTTGTCCCAGCGTTCACCTACATTGGCAGTCTAAAAAGTTTATGAAGACGCAGGACACTCATGTCACTGGCATTCTAAAAGGTTCCCGAAGGCTGAGGGCATAGTTTAAAGCTGTTTGAATGTGAAAAGCAAGGGGGGGAACTACACCATTACTATTCCAAAGAACTTATCATAGAAACCTTGTGCAGAAAAGTGCAGGCGAAGTGGAAGATAGTGGGGGACCGATTTTCTTTCTGTAAGGTTGTAAATCCCTGGTCACTCCTGTTGTCAACATATAGGAAACAGTAGGAAATGACCGGGGGGGGGGGGGGGGGAATGGTGATAGTTGTTTACAACAGTGTTTCTCAATTTGTTTACACCCGCGGACAACCAAAACAGGATATATTGTGACTCGGCCCGTCTGACAGATAACTAAAAACAAAAACAAATGTAGATATCTGTTTATTTGAAAAAGCCGATGTCACAAAATTAGAGTTTTTGTCTACTACAGCTGTTAATTCGTGTAAAAGGCACGTTGTAGCGCCTGGATCAGACAGCCGCCCAGAAGTTAACAGTCTGTTTTCCCAGCCCAAACTACTCAACTGTATGTTACGTTACGTCCGGTGCCAAATTATAACCGTTTTATACGGTTTCAAGTGGCAACCGGGATTTGTACCTGTTCACTCTCATCCTTCACACACTACACACCTGAAGAGATAAATACCGACCCTTTCACTTTAAATGATAAATAAGTTAAAATTCTCTGTGGCCCACTTAAACTTCACTGCTGCCCAGCTGAACGTCTTCGCGGCCCACCTAAACTTCTCCCCTGCCCAGCTTAACGTCTCCGCGGCCCATCTAAACTTTTCCGCGGCCAGCCCTAAACTTCCTTGTGGTCCACCTAAACTTCTCCGCTGCCCAGCTAAACTTCTCCATGGCCCATCGATTTAGGAATACTGGTTTCAAGGTATTTATTCCAAAGAGGGCTGAACGGCAGACAACGAATATTTCAGATAAAAACAGTGAATGCCATTCAATGCCTTTCCGTGGATTGTGCTATTCATATTGCAGGGCTGCCGATACAAAGAAGCCGTTGGAAAAGGGGGGGGGGGGGGGGTTGCTCGGGGTGGCGGTTAGTGGATTTGAAGTGGTCCAAGGGCCTAAACCTTGTTTAAGGGCAGAAAAATAATAATAGTATTATAAATCATAATAATAATTCAAACTTATTAACATGAAGGGAAGCGCTTAGCCACCGTGCAAATTATCTTTCCCCCCCCCCCCCCCCCCCTTTTTCCCAATACATTCTGGAGCTCATGGCATAACTACGATTCTAGAGCTTTTATCGTAACTACAAATAGTCTGACTATGGAGGTCATGGCTGTGACTAAAGCATTAACATCGCTAGAGACACAGACTTTCACTAGGGCATGCTTTCTCAGTGATTCAATGAGTATGCTCGGGAAGACAGAGAATGACTGGGTCCGAAGGCAGTGGTTGTTGGCTCTACAGAATTCACGGCTGACAAGGATTTGTTTTATTTTCGTGCTAGGACATGTGAGAGTACAAGGAAATGAGCAAGCTGATAGACTTGCAGATAAAGCTACTTTAAAAGCCGGGCAAGCCATGGACCAGACTGATATATTGAATGCTCCGCGAGGTTTAAGACGTTTGTGTGAACCACTTGAGAACTGTGGATCTGCAACCGTGGTCAGACTGCAAGAACATCAAGTTAAACGGGGGTTTCTCCAAACAAGCAGTAGCTAAAGAAGAAGAAGAATAAACCAAAATAAAACTGGTGTCGTCAGCCGCTATACGCCGCGGGATGTGCTGAGGAGGGGATCCGATTACTTATGGACTGAATGATTGGACGTGCAATGAGGATAATCTGTCGACTTCTTACTAACTATTTTTTTTTTTTTTTTAATATTTCATTTCTTGCATGACTTCTTCTTAAAGTCTATGCCGTGTGGCGTCTGTCCACAAACTTCTGCCTCGTGTACTTTCAATTAACTCTGATACAGATGATCCTGCATGCCGTCATGTCAAACTGTCCAGCATCAGTTCTCTCGGTCTCCCTCTGCATCTGCTTCCCTCCAGCTTTCCTAATGTCACGATGTACTTCAGTTTTCTCCTTCTCATCACATGCCAAAGATTTAGATTATCTCTTTCTGATGTGGGCAATCAGTTCTCTTCGTGAGTCAGTTTCTTTAAAAAAAAAAAAAAAATGTGTGTTCTTATCTTGCATGACTAATGAAGTTAATTTATTTTGCTTCACAATAGAAATAAAAGAAGACACAGACAGACCAAGGCGGAGCAAAGAACCAGATACGTACAGGCTGAATAAGGACAGCAAGAAAAATCCAGACAGAAGTGAGCAAAGTGTTTCACTTGGTTTGTGTTTTCTTCTTCGTGGCATCTTTTTCTTCTTCTTCTTCTTCTTCTTCTTCTTCTTCTTCTTCTTCTTCTTCTTCTTCTTCTTCTTCTTCTTCTTCTTCTTCTTCTTCTTCTTCTTCTTCTTCTGCTTCTTCTTCTTCTTCTTCTTCTTCTTCTTCTTCTTCTCCTTCTTCTTCTTCTTCTTCTTCTTCTTCTTCTTCTTCTTCTTCTTCTTCTCTTCCACCTTGTACCTCAGCAAAGTGTCGGGGGTAGGGGGGAGATGTAGCATCCGTTGATGAGCATATTCAAGACATGGAAAACACAAACAGGAAAATGGACACGCAAATCAGAACGCAACCTCTGCCATGACCACAGGACCGAAAGAAAGGGCCAGCCATGTTTCAGAAATGACAACATCATACACAGTTAGGGACAATAAGCCACAACTACAGGCACCCCTAAAAAAATTAAGCTACTGAACCTGGAACAAATAAAACCAAACCATAATCATAACTGAAGCTGTCTTTACCAGGGTTGAACGTGGTCAATTTTTGTGGGGGTCTTCACCCTCCCTACAACCCTTTTTTGAACAATTGACTAAGACATGTGTATTACGCTGTTTGGTACTGAAGGAGTGTAAATGACGGCTGTGAAATTGTAGTTTACAACTAGGCAGCCATAGCTGTTGCTTTCGGTCCAACGTATATGATTTAGGGAAATCTCGAATTAGTTAACTTTCACGACAAGCTTTTTTTTTTTTTTTTTTTCTTCCGAAAATGAAGGTCCGGGGTACACACTCATGGGAGGGGCGAGACTGATAAACAATCAGTTACTGGTACCATCGAATTTTTAACTCTTCTTTTGCTGCTGAAGATGGGGACGGAGCGCATATAGGAGTGTCCTAAGGGCTGTGATGTCAATTCCTAATTCAACATTTAACATTCAATGTTGATCTTTTTTTTTTTTTTAAATTGTCATGTCTTTTATATAACATTTTACTTAGTTCCTCTTTAATTTACAGGTCTGGAGCTGAAACTGCAGAAAGCAGAACAGCGGTTGCTGAAGATCACCTTTCGCCGGGCACCGACCTGGGATATTCCAGAAGATGAACTTCGCACTCTGCGCAGATTGAAACACAAAGCAGACAAAGAAAGTTTAAGTCTTCAGGAGCGTCGCTACCTCATCAAGTTTCTAACTCAGGAGCGGAGACACCTCAACAGCAAAGACAAAACAAAATTAAAACGATTTAAAAATTTGATACGGCAGTCGAAGAAACGACAGAAACTAAGGAAACGAAGATTATATGTGAAATAAAAGTGTGGAGCTGCTCTGTTCCAACTCATCCAGTTTTGTGGAATTGTCGTAACAGAAGAGTGACGTAGTGGGTATTGAAAAGTTTAGACCTAAAGTTCGTGTAATAGCTCCAAACTGTGTACAATGACTACTCCCTAAACAAGGTGCTGAAATATTGTTAAAATGTGTCATTATTATTATCAACTATTAAGAAGCAAGTAGAAAGTCAAACAGTTTCTAGAGATGGGAATATAACGAAAAATGGGTCGTATATCAGAGAAACGAAAACTCACATATTGTATAAAGATTAACAAAACGATAATGAGAGATGAGATTTAAAATATTGCACATTTCTGAAAGCCAAACTTGATGGGTCAGTTAAAGGCACGCGAGCAAGCGTTAGACATTGATACAAGTGTGAGTATGACATCAAGAGATCAACGAAGAGCAGTCTGAAATAGCTGTTTTATATAAGTGACTCTTTATTTTTCATCAAAGCAGCTTACAATTTAATGAAATTTCACTGTCAGTTATATTCTGTAGAAAACTACATAATATTTATTTTTCTTCCTGTTCTGTGTTCTCTCTTACAAGGGCAGTTAGCACGTTATGTTGTGGTTTACAGCTGGGCTGCGTCTTTCAGTCCAACATATCCGATTTAAAAAAACTTCTATTTAGTCACCTTGTTGGATGTGTTTGCTAAGGAGCAGTGTCTCTGCCCATTATGGGGCTCAGACAGGAATGTACTTTTTTTTTTACATGACGATATTCTACGTCCTTACCAGAATAGAACGACAGATGACACCAGGCTGGTATCACCCTTACGGGTGCCCTAATTATAACTTCTTTGGAGATGGAAATGGGTGCATGGAGGGTCTGCTTTGTTGGTCTGTGCCATCCAGATTGGGATTTTATAATGTCAGTATGGTATAGTGAACCTTAAGTAGTAGCATGGAGGCGATGAAGTGAGGGGCAAACCGATCAATCGACGTTCTAATGGAAAAAAAAATTAATGGATTTCATTGGTGTAATGTCCTTTGGATATTTTCAATAGATCAGGCCAGTATTTTAAGAAATGAGCAGTTAGACTGACCAGTTGTGCAGCACTTGGTGGTCAATTGATGAATGACAAGCTAGATACTTTGAAGGCCCTTTGGGAGCGAGTGAACAGTGTGGAGACACAAATAGATCATTACGGTATGCGATGAATGGAGCTGCGAGGAGTTACCAGGGGATCTGACAGACGCTCAACACTCAAGGGAAGGGTGAGATGAATATAAAATCAGACAGTTACTGGTATCATCAGAATTAGAATTCTTCGCTTGCTGCTTTAGATGGGAACTGAGCGCTTATAGGAGTGTCCCCAGTGACGTGATGTCAATTCATAATTCAGCAATAAACAGTTGACGTAATATATGGTGACGTGGTTTGTTGAATGGTTGTGGATCCCTATAATTGAAAGTTTTTAACACTTTAAGTTGGATTATTGATGTCAATTTTGTTAAGCTCGTTGAAGAAAAGGCTGGAAATAAACTCTTTCGTTGAAGAAAGTGAGACCCTAATGGGGTTTGTGTGTGCTGATTGATGTTGTACATTTCATACAGTCTGAAATCTCATTAATAAATGTGCTGTATTTTTCCTTGTCTGTTTTCTTTTTCTTCTACATATTGTAAATATTGGTTTCACAGAGAGGTCTTTATTTGTTGTAGAATGGAAGTTTAAGCCACGTTTGGGCAACAGCTAAACACTTGTCTGCCGACCCAGTTGTCAAGGATTTGAAAACCCTATCGACACGAGCTTTTGTCGTTGTTGTTAATACTTGATCTTGGTTTTCAGATCGATCCAGTCTAAAAATGTATGCTAGAATACCATAATCTGACGCAGGTAATCGCAGTTCCGACTTCAGTGCAAACACGTCACCCCTTAGTTGCTCCGTTTATGTGACAAAGAAAAGTCCATTATAGTTCCTTGTGAAAAATATGACACAGAATGCAGCCGCAGCAAATCCAACAGCAAATAAACAAAAGGCAGTCATCAGAAGTGCCAACACAAACAGTATGGCATTGGAAATGCGGTTTATCGTCAACGAAATCAGCAGCTGCAACAGATTCTATGATAAGCTGTGATAAGTAGTTACACACCCCATTAACGATTAATCGCATCATTTGGAAGTAAAGGTGTTCTTGATATAACCACATCATCCATCGAGCGCCGACAGGTCTACAAAAATGAATCCAGCACCATATATCCAATGTGCAGATGGCATCAAAATGGTCCTTCTAATAGTTTGCTGTTAGTCCCCTCCAGGACCAGGATTGCAGCTCACAGAATTAACACCTCAAGTATGAGAATCCTACTTATACAAATCCTAGTAAGCTCTGTTCAACTGTTAGGTTATAGCAGAGTCCCCGTTGGTTAGGAGTAACCAGAAGTTCGTCCCAGGTGGGGATCTGAATGCATCCTGAAATTACAATCAAATAGTGGAGTCACCCCTTAGTTATTCCTTTCTAGTAGCCAATGTAGACCACACAGAATGTCCATCATTGTCCTTTGAGGAAAACAAAAATTATGAATGCAGTCTCAGAAGAGCCAATAACATACACACGCATTAAATTTGTAAGGTATTCGTCAGAATAGATAGCACAAACAGTCTGGAACTATAAATGCAGGTCATCATAAATGTAAGCAGCAGTTACAACATATCTGTAGTTGCATACGCAATTAATCGTATAAGGCATCACCTGTTATCTGGCAAATGTATATCTGGGTAATCTCAACAATTTTTTTTATTCCTTATTTGAGAAGGTTAGGGACCAGGACGGCAGGATTTAGTTCCAGTTACAGTTCTGTCTTAGAACCCCGGTTATATGTTTGGTCTGATCTGTGCCAAGTGTTTGGCTACGTTTCTGGTATGTGTGCCAGCTTGCAGACTCTGAGTCTCTCCAACCCAATAAATAAACCGCTCCTTCCTGTGTACCAGTGTGTTCATATTTTTCCTTATCTTCTTGGTGTATGTTTTTGCCTTGTGGGTAATCCTCTGTCCTGTTCAGTTTCCCTAGTATTTTGCCGGTGAGTCCTCTAACGTGTTCCTGAATTTGTCACTTTCTCTCTTGTGTTAAGCGTATCTCGTAAGAGACCGAGCTAGTTATTTGATTTCATTGACCGTATACCCCACCAGGACATCACACCAAGCGATAAACACCCGGTGACACAAAGTGCCACCATTTGGATGAGGATTTCCAGGAGATAGGTCCCATAAACCCCGTTCAACCCATTAGTTGGGTTAAATTAAGGTCCCCGGCAACAGCCGGGATGGGGCTTCATATATCGAAACATAACGTCTCACATAGGGACGGATCATATGGTGCGTGACAGAGCTAGTTATCAACTCCCTTTACATAAATGTCCTTTCCGACCACCATTTATAGTGTTTCCATTTTGATTATTTTAATTTGCCACAAGTACAGAAAACAGTTTTTTTTGGTTTTAGCAAGAACCGAAACTGTGTACATAATCTGTGTGTGATCATAGAGATCTTATATATCTTCCTGTAATAAGAGAAGGCTAGATATAAAATAATAATCTGGGTGAAATGGCCTATGAATCCTAACTATGATTCTAGAGGCTATTTTGTCATAGTGGGTGTGTTGATATGTAGGGAGAGGGGTAGGAGGGGTTGGGAGGGGGGGGGGTGAATGGGGTCGGGTGAAAGATCTCCCGTACATTTAACTCAAGTGCTCTCTGATGATTGTCTGACTGACTGAGGTTCAAACCCTACAGGACATCACACCGAGCGTTAAACACGAGGTGACAAAAAGTGCTACTATTCGGATGAAGAATCACCTGGAGAAAGGTCCCTGAAACCTCGTTTAATCAATATGTTGCCTGGCTCGCTTAGCTCAGTTGGTTAAACCTGACTTCGCGGCTACCGGGTGACGAACTCCTTGTGGTCCGGGTTCACTCCCAGATTTACCGATGGGTTGTGATATCCATAGTACAGAGCCAAAGAGTTAACAAGTCCTGGTTTCTGGATATAAAAAAGAAAACAAATTCATGGGTTGGGTCATATTAGGGCCCCCGGCAACAGTCAGAGTGAAGTCTTAAAACAACAACAAAACTGCGTCCGACATTGGGATGCAGTGATTTAAAAAAAAAAAAAAAAAAACTTTCTGTGCTTTTCTGTCAAAATGTACTCTCCACAAATTTAAAAAATATATTCGTTGTAAGTTTAAAAAAAAAATGCTTTTCTTGAAGGCCACGTCATTCCGTGTTAGAAGTAAAATAAAATAAAGGCAGTTTCTTATTAGCCGACCACAAACAGGGAAAATCCACAGGTCACAGGACAGTCAAATGTTTCAGGGGGTGGTATATTCAGCGTATTGTTTTGGTTAGGTTTAGAGTTAAGGTTAAGGTTAGGGTTAGGTTAACGCGCGAAAACCTTGGCCTTGAAAGAAACGCGCTAAAGTACAGAAAACCCGCTCTCTCCACCATCTAAAATATTGGACTGTCCCGTGACGTCATTTGTGGTCAGCTAAAAAGAAAGCACCAAAATAACTAACATGCATGCAGTGGGTTAAACTCTATAGTCTATCGAAAAGAGCAGACAAGTCCGTCTTTTACCAAGAATTACTTTTCTCTCTCTTATCTCCCTCAACTGCTCCGTCAACTCACTGCTTGCAAAAGACGGCAAACAAAATTAAAAAAAAAAAAGCACGGCATTTATGAGGCTGCGTAATGTTAGAGTAGAGCCATTGCTTGTCTTTTATCTGTGTCAGGAGGTCATAATCACCATCATGTGTTCTTTCGATCAGCGCAAACAGCCACGGTCCGCCTTCTCACGCAATTACCAGTCTCAGATCAGGTCAGTGTTCTTGTCTCACGTTCCATGGTGACCCGCCTATCTCTTTGCTTCTCCCCTTGCACATTCCTCAGCAAGATTGCTCACTTGTCACTAATATATTCTTGTCATGCTATCAGTCAACCAATCATCTACAGTCTCCACATTGATGGTTGGCTGCAGC